CCAGGTTTTGACCCCCGCTAAGGATCTCACTGATTGGCATATCAAAGACAGCCTAATCCGACACCTAGTGCAGTACCATAATCGGGTCTAGGGGTCGGGTGTAACTTTCCATTTTTGCTCATCTATCTCCAAGGTCTAGGGCAATACTGGAAATCTGGTCCAGTTCAAGGGTTCAATTATCCTACACTGCATGTGCCTTGGGTCTCACCCTAGTGGCTGAGACAAGCCACCCCAACAATTGGCAGCACACCAGTGTCAGCTTTGGTAGGATAAATCTCCCCAAACTTATCCAATGGCTGTGAACATTCAAAACCAACACAAGCCTCATTAAGTGTTCAGTTTTAGGGTTTTACACAGAAGCATACCACTGAACATGAATCAAACATGTACTTCATTTATTTACATTAAATATCACGAGTACATCAGAATTGATTGAAGCTAAGGGCATACAAAAACTGTCCAACATAGTTTCTGTCCTTGTACACGAGGCTGATGGGAGTTGTTTTAGTAATTATACACTTTTGCATAAACATGTAAAAAGTGAATGACACGAGTAGATTTTACCATCTCTATTTATTTATTTTAGGAAGAACCACTTCCCTACTTAAATTGTATGTAAATACACACGCACAGAATGAATCATGAAGTCATGAAGCTGTAGTTTAATTGAATCATTGCAGGCAGCAAAAACCATGGATTCCTTGGTCTCTCTTTTATCAATATATATATATATATATAAACTCCTGAAACTCAAGCATATTGTTGATATATATGCACAGAATTTGGCATCATATTTCAGATAGAAGTATGTAAGAAGTTTTTATTTATTTGTTTTATGTAATTTGGAGACTAGTAGCAACGCTCTTGCTGTTTTTATATTTGATCAAGCTCTCTCCTGTCTGAGAACCAGTTGTTTGTATCTTTTGCACCAAAAAAAAAAATGTTTACAGGTCATCAAGGGGTGGGACCAAGGCATTCTAGGTGGTGATGGAATTCCTCCCATGTTTGCAGGTTTGATAATTTGAGATAGTTGAGAAGGCATTACCTTTCCAGTGTAATACTGTAATGTTATCTCAGGTACCACGAATTCTCAACTTTCGTCCATGTCCACTAATATTTCAGGAGGGAAACGCACGTTAAAACTTCCTCCAGAACTTGGATATGGCATGAGAGGAGCAGGGTGCAAAGGAGGTGAGCTTTCTCTTTAGTTTCAGAACTGTTATGATTACCAGTGCCTACGTGTAGGTACATCTACTGTTGATTTTTGAGATATGTTAAATGTATGAAGGGCAGTGTAAAGAAGTTTTGGTATGTCTCTAATATGATGTCTTTCATGGTACAGGTTCCTGTATCATTCCTCCAGACTCAATTCTTTTGTTTGATGTGGAATTCATTGGCAAGGCATGAAAGGAGATTATCTGGATCCAGGATTCTTGGATTGACCTAGTTATTCCAAAACAGCCCCCTTCCCTGTGTTTGTGTAACAAACGTATAGAACTTTACATACAAGTTGATAGCTTGTATTGCTACAACGTTATATTAAGGAAAAAGGCGTAAAAATAAGACCGGAAATTAAGTGGAAAGCAATGGAAAAATAGCCTCTACAATGCTACTCAATTAGCAGTTAGCACAAGTAATATTTGAAAACCTGGTCCAATGCCTGAATTTATTCTCAGCAATCGATCAATGCGAAAAACAAGGGAATAGGGGACACAGGACCTTGTGGGCACATGGGCAAAATGTAGCAGTTAAAGGAAAAGTTATGCAGGATCTGAAGAAGTGAAAAGAAAATTTAATATTTGACCAGTTAGATCGATGAACTCAGCCAACAAAGAGAGGCTACTTGGATTCTATGTATGGATTCTAAAAATTACTGAGGAGAGATATGGCTCATTCCCCAAACTTCATTAGTGTATGTATTCTATGTAATGGTTTATTTCAGAAGCTAATCTCAAATGTTTTATCATTCAAAATATCCTGCACAAAAGAGAAACTACTTGGATGTGCTTGCTGGAAAAAATGGTCTTTAATTTCCTATTTGCACTTGATCTATAATGGAGGTACAGGGGAAGGCATGAGTATTTTTCATTCATTCAAGAAAAAAAAATCAATTAAAATAGGGAAAACTCTAAAACTATAGAGGAAATGACCATATTTTTAGATGTTTAGTTCAAGACTATTAGAAAGTTTGTAATGTAAAACAAAACCTCAAATTTGTGTTAAAAATCCTAATTGTTTAAATGAATAAGAAATGTGCAAAGAAGTCTCTCACCCTTGTGATCACCCGTACAAAAACATTTGATGTATCAAATAGGAGATCTTGACAAAAGGCATCTTAAGGCGTCAGCCATGTCTCTTGCAGCTTTCCTGAGAGCCTTTTCCTTCGCTGTTGTAGCCAAGGATGGGTAGGGCAACAAAGTAAATGTGCTTCTTTTAACCGAGGCCGATGTGTCCAATCCTGTGAGCAAGAGACCAACACGTTAGAGGCCTTGGGTGTTATCCTAGGGTGGAGACTCCGACAGTCAAGTTAATCAAGTACGTGAGAGAATTTGGATGAGGTCCGAGGTGAGAGATTAGATGAAGTCACTCGAGAGAAAGAGAGTTGGAATGAACAATGTGGTTTACCTGGAGAGTGGCACCTCTATTTATACTTGACTTTGCCTTAGGAGTGGTTGGCAACGGACGACCAGAATTGCATCCGGCCGATGCCACGTGGCACCATCCTAGGCCCTGCCACATGCACCTACATCATTTGCCCCCACTCTCAATGCCATAACGGACAAGGTTTGGCGGAGAACTAAGTGGAGACCTCGACTTTGACTGAAGAGAGTGCAACGATACCACTGGGAGGCGTTGGATGGCGTGTTAGGCAAGGACCTCAGCTTGGCCGAAGGGATCATCGTCTAGGAGCATGGAGGCGTCGGCCTCGGCTCCTAAGGGCTTCCCTTGGTTGTCTAGTGGTTGCTGCTTCGTAGTTGACTCCGCCTATTAGGAGGGTTATGGAGGGCTAAGGGCTAGGTACTGTGCCTCGTACGGGTGTGAGATGCTTGCGCTCCTCGGCCGTGTGCTTCATGGGTGTCATGGTGGACCCGTGTGCAGGACAGGCATCGACAACAACTGATTGTTGCCGTATACGGGACGGGCGATGGATTGGTCTGTCGTGGCCGTGTGCGAGACGGGTGTCGGCGTCGATTGGTCGTGACCGTACGCGAGACAGGCATCGGGTCGCCCAGGTTGAGTCACTTCAAACCTGGGGTCAACGGGCAGACCGGACGACTCGCTCAACATCGTTTCGCATTCCCGAGGTTGATGCCATGTGTCATACGTCAGTTCGGGCTGTCAGGTCAACTGCTCCGCAGCTATTGGATCAAATCGATCTGGACTGTCCATTCTTCTTTAAATAGGGACACCGGTGCGGTGGCTATCATTTGCTTGCTACCACTCAAGCTTCCCAAGACCTTGACCACCTTCTTAGCCAAACCCTTAGCCTACTTCCTTGGCTTCAGCTACTAGGTAAAGGACTTTTTCCCTTAGCCATGTCGTACTCAAACTCTAGTCCCGAGTGCTTTGAGTTTCCTGATCTCTCAGGCGCTAGCTCGTCTCGTTCCACCTCATCTAGTAATAGTAGTGAGAGTCATGATAGTGAGTCCGAGGTCCAAGTACTGAGGGAGAGGACTGCTCCTGGAGGCGTCGAGTGTGAGCGGAGGGGCGGTGAATCTCACAATGAGAGTACTAGGTCTACGAGGCCGAGGGGCGGTGTAGCTACCGATGCCTTAATGTCACCTGAAGTGGTGGAGGGCGATGAGGCCGAAGAGTCGAGCCCTAAGGACGTAGCCAAGGCCAAGGCCTGAGGCGTAACACTGATGTGCTTAGAAATGGCAATGAGTAGGGTAACTGTGCAAATTGCCCTACCCATTCCCAAACTTAAACCCCTTGACCAAATGTTTTCTACTAAAAAAAAATCTTAATGCTTATAGTGTGACTTGAACCTGAATTGATTAATGATAGCACTGAATCTGTTAACACTACTTTAAGCCACTAAGCCATCTCGCCTTTTGTGTTATTTAATGAAATAAAATAGATTTTATTAACTTTTGCATTCATCAAAACAATCAATACATGTATATGATTAACAATTCCAACTAAAAATTAAAAGAAATAATATTTAAAATTAGCATTTTATAACTAAATGAAATAAACTATCAAAATCCAAATTTACATCAAATGATGATTTTAATTCCAAAAAGTTTATACAAATAAAATATTAAGAATAGAATAATTATCTTAGTACTTAAAATTCATAAATTTGTGCATGATATATAATATAATAGGTTCATATTTATGCATCCCGGGTATCGGGTATCGGATACCCTAAAGTCAAAACCCAAATCCGTCCCAAACCCTATAGAGTTTTTATCTAAAATCCCAAACCCTATAGGGTTTTGATAAACTAGTCCTATTAGGGTCGAGACGTGTCAGATACCCGAAAATTCCTACGAAATTGCCATCCATAGATGTGCTATCCGCGCTTTGACTTGGATTGCGAACTTAGCATAGAGAAAGTGAAATCTCTTGCTAAGTTGTACCATATTCCAAGGGGATATAGGCTTAGAGTCCCTAATGTAGGTGATAGGCCCTGGTTGCTGGATGAGGGGGAGATGTGCGTACACGAGCACTACCTCCACTTCGGCCTTAGGTTCCCCATGCCCTCTCTTGTCTCTGAGCTCCTAAACTGTTACAACATCTCCCTTAGTCAGCTTGCCCTCAATGCCGTTAGGACCATTATTGTTGTGCTGGTGATGGCCTGGCTCCGAGGTGTCCATGTGACAGTATATAATGATATATTGGACAATATCATTATACAATCAGAATACATTTGAGGAATCTGGAATTTTATTTAATAAGCCAATGTTCAACCAGAACTCTACCAATAGAACTTTCGTCAGCATTTATGACTGATAGAAAACAGTAAGACAGCCACTATGAAATACTGGAAACATTACTTAAAATAATTTTACATGTACAAGAGAAACACCAACTTTTTTCTGGTACTAAAGAGAAACACTAACTGGTTCTAGCAAAGAGGTCAATGCTGCCAATTTGCAATCGTGTTGTTTGTTGAGCATTACGAACTGCCAGAAACCTGAACCTGCAAATTCTCATTATGATATAATTCTAAGACTATACCATGCCAAGAATATAAAAGATTATATGTGGATTGGTTTTGAGTATATATTTACCTAAATGCATTAGAAAGGCGGTGTGTCGATCCAATCTTAAACGTTTTACGTTGGAAGCGCTTTGTAAATATCTGAGACATTTGTTTATCCAAAACATACCAGCTGGAGCCCCCATCGTCGCTTCCCTCAACCACCCTGGGATGAAAAAAATTGAAATTTCAAAATAAGAAAGAATTGGTATAATGAAATGTGAAATAAACCATTGCCCTGGAAAGCTGAGAGATCTCTAGGAAATGTAAATCTAATACAACAGAAATAAATTAATAGAAACCTAAAGAGTTAAGTGTTTTACTATATAAATTAAAAAGAAGGGAAAAGAAAAAGAAGGAAACATGTTAAAATGGATTATGCCATGGAGATCATCCTCTAGTATTCATTTTTGGTGGTGGAGGTACTGAATAGGTTCTTTGTGAGATTTAGAGAAATTGCATTTCATCATGAATTTTAAGTGAAAATGTCTAGCTCCATTTATATCTCATTTACATTTTGCTGAAAAAAAGAACGATTTTGTGCCCTTGATCATATTTCAATCGTAACAGCATTCTTGGGCTCTTTGAAGCAGTGTTAAGAGTGCTTAAGATCTGGTATTGGCAGTAAGAACAAAGGTTGTAAATTTTATAAAAGAACGTGCAAGGAGGCTTGTGGGATTGGATACTTCCTTTCACTCATCTTGGACCTCTCATTAGGGGAAACTATATTTGCTATTTGAGTAGTAGGATTACTTTAACCATAAGTGCCTGTCAAGCCTTCTGATTTCCCCTATGTCATTGTTGCAGGATTCTAGGCTTCCAGAAATAGTAGAAAATCAGATGGAGAACTAATTATGACTATGCATGTGAAGGTCATAGTTTTCAAGGCGCCAAGGTGAGGCTAGGCGACAGGGGGGCGCCTTGTCGCCTAGTTGCCTAGGCAATGGATTTTTTTTAAGTAAAAACATGTATCCTAAGGTAGTTCTCTAGGTTCCATAATCATATTTTCTTAATAAATATCCATAATTTTCATAACTGTAAACTTCATGTTGAAGTATAGAAAATCAACATAATCCAACATATTCATGAAAAGAAAAAGAAGAAATAAAAGAAAATTAAAAAAATATAGGGGCTGAACCCCTATTTCTGTTATAGGAAAAGAAGAAAAGAAAAGGTGGAAGAGGAAAAAGAAGAAAATGTGTTGACTGGACAACATTTTATGTTCTTCCTTACTTATTGTTCAGGTTTTGAAGTCTTTGAGGGTTCAATACAGCATTTAGCAATGTTTGTGTTGATTAAACCCTAACAAATAAGAAAATAATAAAAAGAAATTAGTATATAAACACACAAAATGAATATTTTAGTTTAAAAATGTCTATTTTATAATTATAACCTCAAAAAATTAAGAATATAAAGGTTTTTTAAAACACGCTATAGAAAACTTCTTGGCGATTATGCGAGGCGGGCCTCCAAGGGCACCTTACCACCTAGGTGTTGCCTTGACAACTATGGCGAAGGTAGGGAATTGAAATGAAAGTTCAATCTAGTCAAATAGAAAGGAGGGGGTTATAGGGTTGTAGAATGTGCATCTATTGAACAGAGTTTTGTTGGGGCAGTTCCTTTGGCAGTTTGGGAATGATGAGCTAGTCTGTGTATGGGATGTGTAATTTCAGGTGGGAGTCAAAACATTGCATCACACCCTCTATAAACTCTAGCAAAACCTAGAACTCACTCAATGAGAAAACGTCCAACTCTGGTTTTCTCCATTTAGATCAATTCAATATTGATTCTAGTAATGCCCATCCATAAGCCTAATCTTGTAGGCCATGCCCATCCTACATCAAAGAACCACTATAAGTGAAAGGGAATTTATTTATTTATTTATTGGTTAGGGATCAAGAATCCACAAAAAGGTCTGTGAAGTTTTGCTAATACATCAAACTGTATTTGCGGATTTAATAAGGAGCAATGTTTTGTTACAGAATTGTGCCTAGAGATAATAACAAGATGCACTATTTACTAGCAAAATGGAGTATAATCTATAAAGGAAGTTCAACATAGTGTTCTAAAAGAAAAGTGCAACTAAGGTGAAGAGGATTCCTAGAGCCTGAGGCATGGGCACAAGACAAAGCATAAGTGTGAACAAAGTGAGACATCATCTCTGAGAACAATAAGCAAATCTAAGCCTGAGGCATGGGCACAATATGAAAATCTAAGCATTTAAAGAAATAAAATTTGTTAGCTCAATTAAAATGAAAGTTATAGTTTTGTAGGTTAGTAGAAAAGCTGATAGTTGTTTTTTAATATAAACTTTCTGAAGAAAAGAAGGTGGTGCTGAAAGGTTTCAGCTAGAAAGAAAGAGAAGAAGTAGAAGAGAATGAGAGGTAGCCAAAAAGAATTAGTGCTGGCCGCCCCCTTCCTTTGATTTATATACTTTATAAAAAGAGTGTACAAATACAAGAATACCCTTAGTAGGTCGGCTACTAGTAACTAGTTGAAAAGACATAACTTAACATAAACTGATGGGCCTAAGGCCCAATAACTTCTTAACTAAATAAAGTAAATAAAAATAAAACAAAGCTGGGCCAAATAACTTAACATCAGCCCGATAACTCAACACTCCCCCTCAAGTTGGGAATAAATGTCACACATTCCCAACTTACATAAATCATGCTCCAGCTTGTTTCTTGCAACACCCTTTGTAACAACATCAGCAAGCTGCAAATCAAATGCAACATATGGTAAGAAAACTTCCCCTGAAGTCACCCTTTCTCTTATAAAATGTCTGTCCACTTCAATGTGCTTCGTCCTATCATGCTGAACCGGGTTGAGTGCAATGTTAATTGCTGCTTGACTATCATAGTATAGCATCATAGGTTCTTCTGCCTCAATCCCAATTTCTCCTAACAAGGAACAGATCCAGAGGAGCTCTGAAACTCCATGTGCCATGACTCTGTATTCAGCTTCTGCACTTGACCTTTCCACGACTGTCTGTTTCATACTTTTCCATGAAACTAGATTACCTCCAACAAGAGTGCAAACTCCTGATGTAGATCTCCTGTCATCTAGGCATCCTGCCCAATCAGCATCAGTGTAAGCCTCTAGCTTCAACTGTCCATGGTCAGCAAACAGTATGCCTCTACCTGTGTGTCCCTTCAGATAAGCAAGTATCCTGTCAATGGCCTCTCAATGCTGAACTCGTGGGGCATGCATGTATTGACTCACCATACTCACTGCATAAGAGATGTCTGGTCTTGTCATACATAAATATAACAATCGCCCCACTAGTCTCTGATATCTCTCAACATCCTTCACCAGTTTACCTTCTGAAGCATTTATCCTGTGGTTCTAATCAATAGGTGTATTAGTTGCCTTTGTCCCAAGTTTCCCTATCTCTTGTAAAAGATCTAGAACATACTTCCTCTGTGAGATGAAGATTCCATGCTTTGATCTTGCCACCTCAATGCCCAAGAAATACCTCAGCTCCCCAAGATCCTTAATTTCAAACTCTCTGTGTAGATTCTTCTTCAAGCTATCAATCTCTCTTAGATCATTTCCTGTAACTACAATATTATCCACATATACTATCAGAACTAACACCAGGGACCCCCTCCGCTTCACAAACAAAGTATGATCAGATTGAGTCTGAGTATAGCCAAATGCAACCAAGGCATTTCTAAACCTGTGAGTGATTGTTTCAAACTGTTAGTGTTCGGTCTACCTGTTAGACTGATAACAGTCAAGGAAGGGAGAGAAAAGAGAGAAGGAGAGAAAGAGAAAAAGAGAGAAAGGAGAAGAGCATAAGAGAAAAAAAGGAGAAAAGATTCTGGTTCGAATGAGAGAAAAAATTTACTCTCCCATTTGGCCATATGTATTTTATATTACTAAAATAATGTGGAAAAGTCACATATGCCCCTGCTTAAGTTAGGGACTAAATCTAACATAAACTTACACATCAGCACCTTCACACAAGCACAAAGATAGAATTACCCCTACATACTCGACACTAACACTCCCCCTCAAGCTGGAGAGTATATATCATATAATCCTAGCTTGTTACATATGTAGTCCACTCTCCCCCCGGCTCAACCCTTTAGTAAACAAATCTGCCCATTGGTTCCTTGTGTTGACATATGCAATGTCTATCACTCCACTCAGCACCTTCTCTCTAACAAAGTGACAGTCAACCTCTATGTGTTTGGTTCTCTCATGAAACACCGGATTAGAGGAAATGTGAACTGTAGCCTAATTGTCACAGTAGAGCTTCATTGGAGAATCAACAGTGTATCCCATCTCCTGTAGAAGGTTCCTGTTTGAAATGGTAGAAAACTGATCTGCTTCATTCCATTGCCAATCAGCATATTTATACAGTAAGCTGCTGCAATAAATAGAAAAAAAACTTTCTAAGTCAATCCCTATAATTAAGGGAATCAATCCCTATAATTAAGGGACTAACCCTTTTAATCCCCATATTTAAGGGATTATATTTTTCCACGATCCTAGGAATACATATTCACATAATTATATTTTTACACAATTACCAAATATAAATGCTAACTACCAAATATACATCTACACCAGTAATCCCACGTTTTCCAACACTCCCCCTCAAGCTGGTGAATAGAGATCCTCCATTCCCAGCTTGGCTATAATTCTTCGAAAGTCTGTACTATTGAGCCCTTTAGTAAGTACATCGGCCAGTTGTCCTTTCGTAGATACATAGGGAGTGCAAATCAACCTGCTGTCCAGATTCTCTTTTATAAAGCGTCGGTCAATTTCGATGTACTTCGTCCTGTCATGTTGAACAGGATTGTGAGCAATATTGATGGTTGACTTGTTGTCACAATATAGATTCATAGGCTCTTCTCATGGAATCTTCAAGTTTTCTAAAATTATCTTCAACCAGAGTAATTCACACACTCCTTGTGCCATAGCCCTGAATTCTGCCTCTGCACTTGACCGAGCCACTACATTTTGCTTCTTACTCCTCCAAGTTACTAAGTTTCCTCCCAAGAAGGTACAGTAACTAGAAGTGGACCGTCTATCTACTAGAGATCCTACATAATCGGCATCTGTATATGATTCAAGAGCTAGTCCCCCATTTCTTCTTAATAAAATTCCTTTCCCTGGATTGGCTTTCAAATAGTGCAGAATTCGATGAACAGC